ATGTACAAATGCGCTTTACACAATTGATGTGTGTGTGGATTGGGATAACAGTTGTATGAGCCCCTAATAAAATGATTAAAAAAATAATACATTTTAAAAAAATTAAATTAAATTTTTAAAAAAGAAAAAAAAAAGGAGAATGTACATAAACAGCCTCAGCAGTTACTTTTCTTGGTCAATGCTGTAAAAAAATAAATAGCTATCACACAACTTTAGCAAATTCAACTTTCTATAGGTGTACAACTAATTGAGTCATTAAAACAATTGGTATGAAACCCTACTCAATCAAAGTAATGTTTTCATCTCTGCTAAATTCCCTTCCCCACTTCTTCCTGCCCCTAATAAACTTTATTTTGTATACATTTTGTCTTTTCTTATCATTTTATGTAACGGAATTCAAACAATGTTTGTCTGTTTGTGTGGACCTGTTCCAGCATAATGCTGTCAAACTTCATTTACACCGTCCACTTTCCACGCTATCACATTGCCCTCAGCCATGCTTCCATATCCAAATCATAAGCTTTTTCAAAACAACCACTACTCATTTCAACACTCATCTCCATCTTCACTATATTAGAACCTGTTTGAGGGTGAGTGTATGTACTCTTTCTACTGACCCTTACCACTGGAAGTATTGACCTAAGAATGGATGCTGACGAACATGGCTTATTTGGAAATGTCAGAGGAAGAGGCAGTTTTCCTAACTAACTGTTCAATTGTTCTTTCTTCACTGGGGCTACTTAGAATCTAACTGTCATATAGTTTGTAAAGCCTAGTTAGAAATAATTTCATGATTTATCTGCTAGTGCTTTGTCTCCATCTTCTAAATGTGGTCCCCTCAAACCCTGTTCGGGCTGCCGTCTTGACGATCAGTGCTTCGCTTATAGCTCATTAGAGGAGATTACACTGGGTAGTGTTTCTTGCTGGAAAAAAATCTCTTGTTATTTTTCCCGCATAAGGCATTTCTTACTGAACTTGGTTCTCTCGTTCATTTTCTGTGTTATGTTGACTATAATGTTTACATATTCTATCAGATGTAAAACTGGAGTCACCTTCCATTAACTATAATTTCTCAGAATCTTTTATCCTTTCATTTATTTCTCCTTGGCAACACGGAACCACGTTCAATTCATTATTATGCAATTATGATGTTCTACTTTGAGACGGAAATATATTGTATTAGCAGGTGCTGCACAAAGACAGCCATTCCTTTAAATAAGTGTTCCTCTTGGGGTAAAATAGGGCTCTTAAGCACATGGCACTAACATAAAGTGAGATATATTTATAATCATCATGATGGAGGACAGAGACAGACTTTCTTACATACAAAATCTGATATTGAAAAGGCAGCCCAATATTACTTAACTGGAGGATGAGACCCCCAAATCAAAGCAGGTTTCATGTGGATGCTTTATGAAAGGGTGTAGCCAGTTATTGGCAAAGTGGAAAAATAAAAATGACCTGGACCTAGACCCTGGCCTTCACCATTGTCTATCACTGCTAAGTGCTTCCAGAGGTATTGCACCACCGCAGCAAGACAGAGAGAAATAGGAGGTTGACACTGGTGGGGTTCTCCATCCAACTTCAACCAAAGAAACTCTCTTTCTATTGAGTTTTATAGAATGGACTCCCAAATAATATTTCATTTAATGACAGGTTTCTGCTGCTGGAATAGCCTCTGTTATAAAAACTACACAAGTAAAACAAACACACAACAAAGTAAGCGCTAAATTCAACCTTTTATAGAGAATTTTCTTTTGGAGAGGTGATTTTGTTTTTTAACTTAAACCATTTTTATACCTATTACATATAACAGTTTTAAATGTCATACAACAGTGCTGCTGAGCAGGTATAAATCTGAATTTAAAATGTGTCATTTCCAGATCCAAACATTTTTCATGGAGAAATATGTTCAAAGCTCACATAAAGCCTTACCTATTATGAGTCAGAATCAACTCAGTGGCAGTGTTTGTTTTTTTTGGCTCGGTATTATTTGCCTTCATTTTCATGATAGGAGCAAATAAAAGGGGGCTTCAAAAAGTCCATGGAAGAATTCCATTATCTTTTACTTCCCATGAACTTTATGAAGTCCCATAGCACAAACACATGGTCAGAATAGGTTTAGTATTAAGGTAGCAGAAGGACATTGGGCCTCCACTCAAGTACTCCCTCAACACAAGAATACTTTCTTCTAGTAAATTGGCATTC